TTGAGCACGAAATGTGTAAATACCACGACCAGTTGTAACCAAACTTTCGTCGACGTGGACACCAAGTGAAGTAAACGACATTACATGGTTGTAACTTCTAATATGCTGTCTAAAATGTCGTCCTTCAGTAGAAGTGTCTGAAAATAACTGTAACAACTCGTCAGGAGCAAGCACCTGTGTAATTGTCACCTTTCCACCCTTGCAACACATGTCTTGAGATTCTTTATGAAACAATTTTGCAGTGCATCGTCTACACTCACTTGAAGGAGGCAGTAGGGATTTGATTGTCATAACAGTATTTCGAAAATTTCTAGCAATGTTATGTCTTGCTTGAAAAACATACCATGATTCTGTGTTTTATTACATTTAAAACATCCATTAAAAAAAGTATACTTATTATATACATGCTTACTAACATGAAATTTATAATTAATATTAAATAAAAAATGTCATTTAAACTTTTACGTGTGCATTTAAAAAGCGAGCACACAGGCACGCGAGTGCCCGTCTGGACGCTAGTATAATTTAAATAAAAACATACAATATATATTATAGATTAGAAATACATAATCGTACCTTGATCAAAAACTGACTGTGTTTCGTGAGTTTCAACCGCTGGATTCATATTTTGCGAAGGTGATTCTACAAAATAAAGTATTAACTTCAATATAGAGTTATAGTTTAAAAATAACAATAATGTATAAATCTAAATATGTATTACTATTAATGTGATTATTATTGACAAAATTATACTTACCACAATCATTGTCATCAATATTTCCTATAGATGGTCTTGCTTCGTTGTTATCAGTTTGTTCAAAAATTGGGCATGGAAAATTTTGATCTGTAAATTAGTTTTGAATTAATAGACCACACAATCATTTTTGCATAATTAATTAATATTTTTTAAATTTAATGTGTTAAAGTATAATGTATAACAAAAGTTAAAGTTTCTAACTCGGGGATGGAATGCGACTAACATGTGCATTACTCGGTCCAGCTTCACTGTCATGTGCCATCGGAAACAATCGAGAAGCAAGATTGACATTCGTCAAGTCTTGAAATGGCATTATGGTTCTCACATTAGAAGTATTATATGTTTGAACTTGTTTCCCTTTGTCTTTATTTTGTCTGTAATTCGAACGCCTTCTAGCTAATTCTTGTTGTCTTTGCTCAACACTCATCCGTTGTCTTCTATCTCTTGCATTTTGTGCTCGTATTTCTCTTTGACGCTCTCTTAAATCTTGACTACGAATATTTTCCATTATATTATTTTATCTGTAAAATTAAATGTAAAATTTAAAAAAATTATAATACAAAAATGAATGGGTCGTGTACAAAAATTAATGTGTCGTGTACTATAAATACGATATGTGTCGTGTACTATAGTACAAGAATTAATGTGTCGTGTAATTTAGATACAAAAATGTAATATTTTTTTTCAACTTTTAAGTAGCTATTGAAATGATAAATTACAAAATGGTATGCAGTTACAATTTTCAAAATAGTAAAGGATAGCTTTGGAAGAAAAAAAGGCTACACCAAAAATGATGTTTTGCCTTTATATATTGTTATAGATTATAGATGAAAATTTGGTTAGTAACCGTGGAGAAAATATTGTGGAGAGATAGTTGCAGTTATATTATTTTTTTCAACTTTTAAGTAGCTATTGAAATGATAAATTACAAAATAGTATGCAGTTATAATTTTCAAAATAGCAAAGGATAGTTTTGGAAGAAAAAAAAGCTACACCAAAATGATGTTTTGTCTTTATATATTGTTATAGATGTTATAGATTAATATTTTATGAAATAAATTTTGTGAAATGAATTTGTGTTTTATAACTTAATTATGCATTAAATATATGATAAATAAATATCAATAAAATAAAATAAAAAGTAAAATAAATATATATTTATTTATCCGAAGATCTCTCTCATTTTAAAAAATAACAATAAAAAACATAAGGTTATAGAAAATACATGGAATAAAATTCAACATTAATTATATCTAAATAATTATGTCTAATAACTGCAGAAAATTATAAAATATTTTTTTTAATTATGTCTATTATGTATAAATAATTATGTCTTATATAGTATTTTCATGCCTTTTAGGTTTAATTGTCTTTTTTTAAAGTTAATGTGTATAAAATATAAATAGTGATTTTATATTTTTGTGTAAGAGTATTTATTACAAAAATAAATGCCTCATTTTCATACTTTTTTCAATGTATTTGTTTATAATTGGAGAAATGATATTAAGAAGCATAAACTTTTTCTAAAGATTCTTTTATTGATTTTAAGTAATAAAAAAAATTATAAGCAAGATGATTATAGTTGGTTATCATTTTGTTGTAATTGCCAGAAAAATTATCACATGCAATTATACATTGTAATATGGCTATTACCCAACTGTTTAAATTTGTAATATGGCTATTGCATCAGCAAAACCAACGTGATCAACAATGCAGGTTTTGTTTTATTTTAATTTAGTAAGTATAAAAAATTTATGGGATTACCCAGTTTTTGTTTCTAATTTATTATTAATTAATTAATAAAAAGTTTACTCAATAATTTTGAGTGTTAGAGTTAGTGGCTACATTTATTAATAAAGGTTTTGGCTCAACGAATGTGAAGGACAAATGAACTGTGTATTCAGTTTTAAGTGTTAGTGGAAGCTGAGATTAATAAAATTGAGTTATAATTATTTTATTAATATTTATAAAATAACATGAATAAAATTAGAAAAAAGTAAAATGATATATAACATTAGATGATAAAAAAGTAAGAATCGTAAGAACAACAATAATAGAATTTTATACATGTATTTTGTGAATCTCTAAATTATTATTATATAAACTATATATTTTCATGAGAGAAAAAGAGAAAAATCCCTTAAAATTAAAGAATCAGATATTTGTATTCATGACATCTATCTTTTCTATAGATAATTTCTCCCACAATTTTTTTTATTTATTCTGAGAATGTTTTTTATGATGCTTCAATATCTGCGGTATAAAACAATGTGACTAAGAATTATTAAATAACTGTAAATTGAGAAGAGAAAACAAATTATAAAAAAGAAAGAAAAAAATTGAGAGAATCACTACTTGAAATATGGATTACAGATAAAAATCCATAAGTTACTTATTTATTAAACAAACAAAGTTTTATATAAGTGTTAATGGGTAACGACAGTTATTTTAAGAAAGTGATTTCTATTAATGTATTAAGGACTTAGATGGTCAGTGAGTTTAGATGAAATATATAATTTAACCTTACAACACCCAATTCTTCTAACTTTAGCAATTGAACAACTCCATGCATTTTTCCCAATTTTGTCATGTTACATGAGATAACCTTTAAATAAAAGAAATCAGAATTAAAGAAAATTAAAGTTAAATTAGAGAAAATTAGAGAAGTTGTTACAAACATACCAAATATCAATATCCTCATGTCCACCGTTTATCTCGACTTCCTTCTCTCTTTTCTCTTTTGTTCTTGATGAATGTTTTCTACAATTAGATTAAATGACATAGATTCTTCTAACTTCACGCAATTGAACAACTCCGTGTATTTTTTCCCAATTTTGTCATGTTACATGAGATAACCTTTAAATAAAAGAAATCAGAATTAAAGAAAATTAAAGTTAAATTAGAGAAAATTAGAGAAGTTGTTACAAACATACCAAATATCAATATCCTCATGTCCACCATTTATCTCGATTTCCTTCTCTCTTTTCTCTTTTGTTCTTGATGAATGTTTTCTACAATTAGATTAAATGACATAGAAGTTGAATATCTTTCTTTTCTTTCTCTCTTTCATTCTCTTTCTTCTTAAATAAATTCTTAAATAAATGGGTTAAATGGGAATGAGAAGTTATTATTTTGATAGAAGTTTTTTAACCGCCTATGTAGTTGGTTTTAGTAAAGGGTGTTAATGGAATAATAGTGTGAATTATTGGACAAATTTGAAAAATAAAAAGCTACACCAAAACAATCTATTGCCTTTATATATTGTTATGGTTATATAGTTATATAATCAACGTCATTCCACTCTTTATACAAAAGAGTAGTTTGAAACGATATGAAAACTCAAGTATAAAGGTAGATAGAACATATATAACCATTGAAAATCTTATTGAAATTCCAAAATATTTTCAATTTCGAGAATATATTAATATATTCTATTGAAGAATATAGTTCTCTAATAATTATAGAATATTTCTACTAATATGATATTTACTATATTATTCATTTTTTATACATTTAAAATATTTGATTTAGATTATTCTATTTATATCTATTCTATCTATAGAAATATATAGAATATTTGTGTGTTTTTTTTTAAGTTGTATTTTATTGAATTATAATAAATTGTCTTTTTTGATTTGAATTGTTCGAATTGTATAATCATCAATTATTGACATTGGTAAACGGCCCAAAGCAATTTGATTATAATTCAATTCATGACGATCATAAGTTGAAAGTTCATATTCTTCAGTCATTGATAAACAATTTGTTGGACAATACTCAATACAGTTACCACAAACAATTTGTAAACATATTTATACAAATATTTAATGCTTTTGATACTGCTGCAAATCTCGACATTGATGTGACAATCATACTTCAACAACAACCATGGGTTATAAGGAACCACCCATCTATTATCAATAGACTTATTTCTATTTAGGAAAATGGGATCACTAAACCTTCTTCTGTATTCCGGGTATGAGTCATTTCCCTGACGCGTTTCTTCACAAAATTCTTTTAGGTATCTTTTTTTACAATGACCATTCTTCATACATGGAGATTTTTGATTCAATACTCCACATGGACCTTGGATCATGTGTTTTAACACCGCTTCTTACAATTCTGGCTCAGACTCATGTTGTGGTATTTCTGCTTTCACCACACTATCATACTCTTCAGGTTCCCGTAACTTGTCATCAGTATCCAAGATGAGTAGCATATGCACATGTGGTAGTCCACGTTTCTAAAATTCCGTTACATACATATAACTTCTAACTCTCCCTAAGACTCCTTTATTAATGATATCATCCTTCAACTGCTCAAATTTTGATCGAAAAATTCTTGTTAGCAAATCAGGTCGATCTTGTGGAGTTTGATGGATTCCTAATTCGGAAGTTATCTCCATCCAGGAAGGATTGCATGTCATTGTAAGGAATATATCTGGTTTACCATCATTAAGAACAATAGCCATACCATCTTGATATCTTTGTGTCATGTCTCGCTTACTTCCAATAAATGATGATGGTAATATTGTCCTTTGTCCAACATTATCTATAGAAATATATGAAAATTATAAAAAAATGATAATGGTAAACATAAAGTGGATGCTCTTCATGTATAAATCTAACATGTTATATTAAATACATGCGTTATTCTCCCCATCGTGCAATGCATCTTGTAACCCCTGATATACCTCAGACCGAATATTATTTTGATTTCTTCGAATCCATCTCAACCTTCCTGTTTCAATCTTTACATAATTGTCTACAACATACTGTTGTAAAAGTCGACCCGATTTTAACAATACAAATTGATCATTATATCGAATCTACATTGAAAAAATAATCAATCATGACCTATTTTTTTACACTTTTAGAAGTAAATTTCTTTAAAAAAAAGTTTAGCATGTACCTGAAGCACATAACTGTAGTACTCTCGGCATGTAACATTTTTTCCAACATTATTTTTTGTTTCTATGTCCCAACCGTATATTCCGAACGAAAACAATATAGGATATTGTAAAGGATCATAATACCCAATTGTTTCTTGAACCTTTGTTAGATTTCCATCACAGTTGATGACATTTATATCTCTTCCACGTTCTATTGTATCTTCATCACCACCACCAATAACAATTGCTGCAACTTGAGAAGTTGAAGGGAGACTATATTGTGGCTGATTTGAAGGACACTCTTTAATGAGTAACCTACATTCTTCAACATTTGGCTCTAGTGCAAGCTGCCTAAACATGATGACAAACGGGTTGCATTGATGGAGTATTTTTTGTAATTTATACACTATGGCTTGGTTAAGTATTGGGTTTTCCCTCATCCTATTTTGAAGCTCATGATCAGTATCATAAATGTATAGCTGCAAGTAGCGTGGCCTTGAACCTTGATTCGGATGAAAACCTCCTATTTTGTGTAAAATTGTGCCTTGAGCACGAAATGTGTAAATACCACGACCAGTTGTAACTAAACTTTCGTCGACGTGGACACCAAGTGAAGTAAACGACATTACATGGTTGTAACTTCTAATATGCTGTCTAAAATGTCGTCCTTCAGTAGAAGTGTCTGAAAATAACTGTAACAACTCGTCAGGAGCAAACACCTGTGTAATTGTCACCTTTTCACCCTTGCAACACATGTCTTGAGATTCTTTATGAAACAATTTTGCAGTGCATCGTCTACACTCACTTGAAGGAGGCAGTAGGGATTTGATTGTCATAACAGTATTTCGAAAATTTCTAGCAATGTTATGTCTTGCTTGAAAAACATACCATGATTCTGTGTTTTATTACATTTAAAACATCCATTAAAAAAAGTATACTTATTATATACATGCTTACTAACATGAAATTTATAATTAATATTAAATAAAAAATGTCATTTAAACTTTTACGTGTGCATTTAAAAAGCGAGCACACAGGCACGCGAGTGCCCGTCTGGACGCTAGTATAATTTAAATAAAAACATATAATATATATTATAGATTAGAAATACATAATCGTACCTTGATCAAAAACTGACTGTGTTTCGTGAGTTTCAACCGCTGGATTCATATTTTGCGAAGGTGATTCTACAAAATAAAGTATTAACTTCAATATAGAGTTATAGTTTAAAAATAACAATAATGTATAAATCTAAATATGTATTACTATTAATGTGATTATTATTGACAAAATTATACTTACCACAATCATTGTCATCAATATTTCCTATAGATGGTCTTGCTTCGTTGTTATCAGTTTGTTCAAAAATTGGGCATGGAAAATTTTGATCTGTAAATTAGTTTTGAATTAATAGACCAGAAAATCATTTTTGCATAATTAATTAATATTTTTAAATTTAATGTGTTAAAGTATAATGTATAACAAAAGTTAAAGTTTCTAACTCGGGGATGGAATGCGACTAACATGTGCATTACTCGGTCCAGCTTCACTGTCATGTGCCATCGGAAACAATCGAGAAGCAAGATTGACATTCGTCAAGTCTTGAAATGGAATTATGGTTCTCACATTAGAAGTATTATATGTTTGAACTTGTTTCCCTTTGTCTTTATTTTGTCTGTAATTCGAACGCCTTCTAGCTAATTCTTGTTGTCTTTGCTCAACACTCATCCGTTGTCTCCTATCTCTTGCATTTTGTGCTCGTATTTCTCTTTGACGCTCTCTTAAATCTTGACTACGGATATTTTCCATTATATTACTTTATCTGTTAAATTAAATGTAAAATTTAAAAAAATTATAATACAAATGAATGGGTCGTGTACAAAAATTAATGTGTCGTGTACTATAAATACGATATGTGTCGTGTACTATAGTACAAGAATTAATGTGTCGTGTACGTTAGATACAAAAATGTAATATTTTTTTCAACTTTTAAGTAGCTATTGAAATGATAAATTACAAAATGGTATGCAGTTACAATTTTCAAAATAGTAAAGGATAGCTTTGGAAGAAAAAAAGGCTACACCAAAAATGATGTTTTGCCTTTATATATTGTTATAGATTATAGATGAAAATTTGGTTAGTAACCGTGGAGAAAATATTGTGGAGAGATAGTTGCAGTTATATTATTTTTTTCAACTTTTAAGTAGCTATTGAAATGATAAATTACAAAATAGTATGCAGTTACAATTTTCAAAATAGCAAAGGATAGTTTTGGAAGAAAAAAAAGCTACACCAAAATGATGTTTTGTCTTTATATATTGTTATAGATGTTATAGATTAATATTTTATGAAATAAATTATGTGAAATGAATTTGTGTTTTATAACTTAATTTTGCATTAAATATATGATAAATAAATATCAATAAAATAAAATAAAAAGTAAAATAAATATATATTTATTTATCCGAAGATCTCTCTCATTTTAAAAAATAACAATAAAAAACATAAGGTTATAGAAAATACATGGAATAAAATTCAACATTAATTATATCTAAATAATTATGTCTAATAACGGCAGAAAATTATAAAATATTCTTTTTAATTATGTCTATTATGTATAAATAATTATGTCTTATATAGTATTTTCATGCCTTTTAGGTTTAATTGTCTTTTTTTTAAGTTAATGTGTATAAAATATAAATAGTGATTTTATATTTTTGTGTAAGAGTATTTATTACAAAAATAAATGCCTCATTTTCATACTTTTTTCAATGTATTTGTTTATAATTGGAGAAATGATATTAAGAAGCATAAACTTTTTCTAAAGATTCTTTTATTGATTTTAAGTAATAAAAAAAATTATAAGCAAGATGATTATAGTTGGTTATCATTTTGTTGTAATTGCCAGAAAAATTATCACATGCAATTATACATTGTAATATGGCTATTACCCAACTGTTTAAATTTCTAATATGGCTATTGCATCAGCAAAACCAACGTGATCAACAATGCAGGTTTTGTTTTATTTTAATTTAGTAAGTATAAAAAATTTATGGGATTACCCAGTTTTTGTTTCTAATTTATTATTAATTAATTAATAAAAAGTTGACTCAATAATTTTGAGTGTTAGAGTTAGTGGCTACATTTATTAATAAATGTTTTGGCTCAACGAATGTGAAGGACAAATGAACTGTGTATTCAGTTTTAAGTGTTAGTGGAAGCTGAGATTAATAAAATTGAGTTATAATTATTTTATTAATATTTATAAAATAACATGAATAAAATTAGAAAAAAGTAAAATGATATATAACATTAGATGATAAAAAAGTAAGAATCGTAACAACAATAATAGAATTTTATACATGTATTTTGTGAATCTCTAAATTATTATTATATAAACTATATATTTTCATGAGAGAAAAAGAGAAAAATCCCTTAAAATTAAAGAATCAGATATTTGTATTCATGACATCTATCTTTTCTATAGATAATTTCTCCCACAATTTTATTTATTTATTCTGAGAATGTTTTTTATGATGCTTCAATATCTGCGGTATAAAACAATGTGACTAAGAATTATTAAATAACTGTAAATTGAGAAGAGAAAACAAATTATAAAAAAGAAAGAAAAAAATTGAGAGAATCACTACTTGAAATATGGATTACAGATAAAAATCCATAAGTTACTTATTTATTAAACAAACAAAGTTTTATATAAGTGTTAATGGGTAACGACAGTTATTTTAAGAAAGTGATTTCTATTAATGTATTAAGGACTTAGATGGTCAGTGAGTTTAGATGAAATATATAATTTAACCTTACAACACCCAATTCTTCTAACTATACGCAATTGAACAACTCCATGCATTTTTCCCAATTTTGTCATGTTACATGAGATAACCTTTAAATAAAAGAAATCAGAATTAAAGAAAATTAAAGTTAAATTAGAGAAAATTAGAGAAGTTGTTACAAACATACCAAATATCAATATCCTCATGTCCACCGTTTATCTCGACTTCCTTCTCTCTTTTCTCTTTTGTTCTTGATGAATGTTTTCTACAATTAGATTAAATGACATAGATTCTTCTAACTTCACGCAATTGAACAACTCCGTGTATTTTTCCCAATTTTGTCATGTTACATGAGATAACCTTTAAATAAAAGAAATCAGAATTAAAGAAAATTAAAGTTAAATTAGAGAAAATTAGAGAAGTTGTTACAAACATACCAAATATCAATATCCTCATGTCCACCATTTATCTCGATTTCCTTCTCTCTTTTCTCTTTTGTTCTTGATGAATATTTTCTACAATTAGATTAAATGACATAGAAGTTGAATATCTTTCTTTTCTTTCTCTCTTTCATTCTCTTTCTTCTTAAATAAATTCTTAAATAAATGGGTTAAATGGGAATGAGAAGTTATTATTTTGATAGAAGTTTTTTAACCGCCTATGTAGTTGGTTTTAGTAAAGGGTGTTAATGGAATAATAGTGTGAATTATTGGACAAAATTGAAAAATAAAAAGCTACACCAAAACAATCTATTGCCTTTATATATTGTTATGGTTATATAGTTATATAATCAATGTCATTCCACTCTTTATACAAAAGAGTAGTTTGAAACGATATGAAAACTCAAGTATAAAGGTAGATAGAACATATTAAACCATTGAAAATCTTATTGAAATTCCAAAATATTTTCAATTTCGAGAATATATTAATATATTCTATTGAAGAATATAGTTCTCTAATAATTATAGAATATTTCTACTAATATGATATTTACTATATTATTCATTTTTTATACATTTAAAATATTTGATTTAGATTATTCTATTTATATCTATTCTATCTATAGAAATATATAGAATATTTGTGTGTTTTTTTTTAAGTTGTATTTTATTGAATTATAATAAATTGTCTTTTTTGTTTTGAATTGTTCGAATTGTATAATCATCAATTATTGACATTGGTAAACGGCCCAAAGCAATTTGATTATAATTCAATTCATGACGATCATAAGTTGAAAGTTCATATTCTTCAGTCATTGATAAACAATTTGTTGGACAATACTCAATACTGTTACCACAAACAATTTGTAAACATATTTATACAAATATTTAATGCTTTTGATACTGCTGCAAATCTCGACATTGATGTGACAATCATACTTCAATAACAACCATGGGTTATAAGGAACCACCCATCTATTATCAATAGACTTATTTCTATTTAGGAAAATGGGATCACTAAACCTTCTTCTGTATTCCGGGTATGAGTCATTTCCCTGACGCGTTTCTTCATAAAATTCTTTTAGGTATCTTTTTTTACAATGACCATTCTTCATACATGGAGATTTTTGATTCAATACTCCACATGGACCATGGATCATGTGTTTTAACACCACTTCATACAATTCTGGCTCAGACTCATATTGTGGTATTTCTGCTTTCACCACACTATCATACTCTTCAGGTTCCCGTAACTTGTCATCAGTATCCAAGATGAGTAGCATATGCACATGTGGTAGTCCACGTTTCTGAAATTCCGTTACATACATATAACTTCTAGCTCTCCCTAAGACTCCTTTATTAATGACATCATCCTTCAACTGCTCAAATTTTGATCGAAAAATTCTTGTTAGCAAATCAGGTCGATCTTGTGGAGTTTGATGGATTCCTAATTCGGAAGTTATCTCCATCCAGGAAGGATTGCATGTCATTGTAAGGAATATATCCGGTTTACCATCATTAAGA